GGGAAAGAGAAGGGTACCAACTGCTGTGGTGGTCAGTCTTACTTGCCCCTGGGACTCAGATCCTGGCAAATTCTCCAGGGGGCTGCCATCCTGGTGCCCCCTCTAAGTCAGTGCCCAGGGCTGGTGTCTCTCTTGCCTACCTTTAGTTACACCACTACTTTGTTAAATCTAATATTTCTCCCTTAATATTTCCGATTAAGTCTTAGTTTGGCGTGTCCATCTACTGCACATAGAAAAAGATTTTTCTGGTAGTTTAAAGGAAATATTAAATTCAGTGCAACACTGACAACAAGGGTGAAAGTTTTGTGCCTAGTGTTAATCCAAAACAGGGTATAATTGGACAAATATTTCAAGATGACTTGCATGGATGGGATATTTGATGGCATGCAAAGGCTGGGGAAGCAGAAAGGCAGCATATCAGGTAAAACCACAAAGATAAGCCTGTGAAAGCAGGTCCTTTATTTCTTATATCTCTTGGTAGTTGCTTTACCTGCCATATACCACCTCCTCCCTTTCCCTGGGCATATAAGGTCATTCTATAATAGTTGCCAAGAATCAAGTCAGTGCAAGTTACTTTATGTCATGCTAACACTGAGATTGGTACAGACCTTTACTAATGCAAGCAATCAGAAACCGGTCTATAGAACAGAAGTTCAGTGCACACAGGCTGGCTTAAAAATGGAACTGGGTCTAAGCCTTGCCGCCTCCCCCATGAAAGGGTGAATGTGTGTTCTGTTTGCTACTAATCTAAACTATGCCACTTATAGAAAACTGCATAACTTGGACTGATTCCACCCTGGGCTTTTTGAATGTCTGTATCTAGCCTGAGCGCCCAACTCTCTTCATGCTGATTTCAGTTTTACCCTGATGAAACTCTGACTTCACTAGGATTGTTCTGGATTTCTGCCATCAGACCGCAGAGGAGACTCATATCCCTAATATGTTATTTATATCACTGTTGAATTTGGGTGAAAACTACCTCTTTTTAATCCAGATCTAATGCTGGTCTGGAACACGCTGGGGGGTTTCCATTGATGATGTCAGCACCGCTGAACATAGCACAGAAACCCATGAGTTAAAAAATCTGCTATAGCCATACTATTTATAATGGAGGTGCCATCAGCTCTAAGGAACCTCTGCCTAGGCAACCATGACAGTGAGAGTTATGTTGGTGAGAACTCCAGTGGTACATGGAGGGCTGCAGTGGTGCATAATAACATGTACCTAGTGCAGCTTGTTTCAACACTGGCTGCATCCAAGAGGA